ACGGGAGTGCTACATGTCTGTTTGGGGCGCTGGGGGCGTACTCGTCCTCAGCCGCTCATCTCGGCTCCCGTGTGTTGCCCGCGCGAAGAGTCGGAACGAACACGTCACAGCGAACTAGGGCGGCGTTTGGCGAGGGACGCGCACTGGTATTCCCTCTGACTCCAGGCATGCAGTGTGCCCTCGTTACCAGGGCCGCACCCGTGGCAGCAGCAACAGCTTTTCTCCATTGCCGGTTATTAGTGTGTTACAACAAATATTAAGTGAGGTGCTGGAGGTTGAAGATGAGACCAAAAGCGACATTTCCTCACCTTCTCTCGCTTCATATCCGAGAAAATAAATAAAATAATGCGTGCGATGTTCCAGAGCAAATTTACCCCTTTTTTAATGGCACCAGGCAAAAAAAAAAGTGATGTTTAACAGCCAATTAGATCGAAGAACGATATCCACCATCATATTTCCCCCTTTTTTAAATATGGCATATGCTTTAGTTGATGGCTTGATGCTCTTTTAGCGAAAAGGTAGCTTCGTTGGTAGCCATTTGCTTAATTCTGGAGAATAAGGCTATTCATCGTTGCTTCGGTTTCTTTATTATTTTACATTACAGTCGGCGAGTTCGACGCTCGTCGCTCGTGGACCACGTTTGCTTGAGCTTTTACGGAGCAGGCCTCAATGGAGTGCACGCCGGAAGTGAAAGTTGGAGAATGGAGACAGAGATGCGATAAGCATTAAGCAATATCCATCCACTAGTGGCTGGCAGGACACGACCAGAGGAACACGTGGTTTCGTGTTTTATATCTCTTCTACGACTAAAACATATGGTTCGTCAACGTCTATCCGGTAGGAGCAAAACACTCCTGCGATCCATATCCGGCAGATAAATAATCACCGTATCTCATGCGATCCATATCCGGCAGATAAATAATCACCGTATGAAGACACTGGAAGGCAAGTAAATAAAATAGAATAAAACTTACGGAATCACTGACAGACAAATAATCACCGTATGGAGACACTGGAAGACAAGTAAATAAAATAGAATAAAACGAAAAGAGAATTATGGGAAGAGAAAGAAATTTATTGGAATATCATCACGCAATGATCATGATCGTGATCCAAATCTCGTTCGTTGTCCTTCGTGTTGCGTGTTGACAACAAATACTTTGTTTTCTCAAAAAATGAATTATTGTCATGCCTCATGCGGGCTAGAATATTGTAAGTCCGAGTATAAATATTTTGGCAAGGCAGAGCATGGATAATTTCAATTCGATGCCTAGCAATAAATTTTCAGCCTTTGAGGCAACTGATGTTTGTCGTAACTTTTAGACAACAAACTCCAAACCTAGCTTTTATTTTGGATTCATTACGATAATGAATGTGTTTCTAGACATTATCATGGTATAATTCACGTGAAAAATTGAATTGATATATTCTTGATTTTGACGTGGCTAACAAATATCCCATTCAATTTATGTTGCACCCGTTACGACGTACGGGCACTTATCTAGCCTGTATACAAATATAAACGAAATACTATGAAAGTGCCATCCAATAAAGCGTGCGTCCGTATTCTTGAAAACGCCATTTCAGTTCTCAAAACACGCAATGTCATGGGCCATGCACCAGCCACTTCTGCTGCAAATACGCGGCGAAATTACATTTCTTTTTCTTTTTCCTCTTTTATATTCCTATATGCAAATATAAACGAAATACTATGAAAGTGCCATCCAATATAGCGTGCGTCCGTATTCTTGAAAACGCCATTTCAGTTCTCAAAACACGCAATGTCATGGGCCATCCATCAGCCACTTCTGCTGCAAATACGCGGCGAAATGGCATTTTCTCTCTCTCTTTTGTTTCTGGCCCGCCTATGTCTGTTTGCCTTCAGCATTTTCTGTACTGTAACTGTCACGAGCTGTGGCCACTCATTCCCCGTCTGCAGCGATACTTTAACCACCAGAAATTAGATTCAAATCATAAAATAATACTGATATCACAATCTGCATAGAAGTACTCCTAGGTAGCTCGTATTTTCTAGTCTATCTTCAATTGCTGACAGATCATATGGCACATTAGGACCTGTTTAAAACAAGAACGAAGTGAGCAAACAAAGGAATGCAAAACACAACCGTCACTATTTCTCTCTAGCTCGCACATGTTCCTCGGTTTCTGTGAAAAATTCAAGTTGAAGTGGATGTTTTAATTCCTGTATTTTGTGAAAGAATGCTATCCTTTTAATAGAAACGACAAGCTTTGTTCCTGTGATCCAAACATAGTGTTACGTCATCGAAACATAGGAATCACATTCCTTTGAAGTTTCTTTGAGGATCTCCATTCCAAACGAGCCTAAACTAGTTTTTCTCGTCGCTGTGCTGCTACAAGTATGACGATGACGACCAGATTGCTGGCTCCCGCAAGCTGCATGCACCAAGCATCATGACAAATTCAGTATTACTGGTCACTGGTTAGTTCAGAAAAATCACGAACTTGCGATCGTCATGTGTGACGCTGGCGATGCGCTGAGCGTGACGCGCGAAGGCGATGCATCATCATCTGCTTCACACTCCAACGTCCACTCCGCTCTCAGGCGAGGAAAAAGATCGCCGGGCATCAATGCATCATACGTGGCGAATCTGATCAGAGGCGGGCGTTCACACGGATACCTTTGGTGCCATTCCAAAACAGCGATTCACGCCACGCCCGCTGGAGATGCCTCGTGCAGAATAGACCAGGCACCAGCCGGTGGCGTCCACGTAGGAGTATTTCGGTCAACAGACTACAGAGCCCGTGTAAGCACTTTTCTAATTACTCCTATAGGCTAATCATGTGAGTGCCGCATTAGATTCATGCATATCTTAAACCGTGTACATGGCGTCATCCGACGCACCACCGCCCAGACCCAGACAGTGCACGCTCTGTTTTTCCCTAGACCCCCCCCCTCCTTTCGAGACTACAACAAAAGTTACTATACTATCTGCAGGTTATCTACGCATTTGTTTACGTGGATTTTCTCTGCTTTTTCAGTAAACTCGCACTGAAAGGCAGCACGGATGCTGAGACCGAAGCAACAGAAAAACTGTCCAGTACTCCAGTCACTACACCCGTCACTCCCAGACTCCGAGCAGCCGAGCACCAGTGCATGTGGATTGAATCCGTTGAGCGTGTCCGAGTCCGACGCTGGCTGGCGGCACCCGAGTCAAAAACCGTGCGCAAGCTCACTCCACTTCTCGGGCCCACCAAAACATTATCACTCCCGAGTCCCCAGGCTCTCAGCCGCCGTGGGCTCACCGCACTGTTCCACTCCTATCCACCAACGGGATGCGTCCAACCGACACCGCCCACCGGGCCCCGCCGGGAGCACGGAATGGGGTGGTTCCACGTGGGGCGGCCGGCAGGTTGTGCGCGTACGTCCCGCGTGACTTGTCAGAGCGATGGGGGCGCGGGCATGTCATTTGGCGCCGTCGGATCCACCGATCCAGATTCGACGGCGCTGGTCTGTCCTGGGGTCGTGGGAGGACGGCTCATTGGATGCTGAATATACGGCGCTGATTGGACCGGGGTGACCTGAGGTCTCAGGGCGCGATGGATGTCCGATCCGAAGTGTTTGGTTTGGCAATAAACGGGCGGTTTCACAATTCTGCCCTCGGAAAGTGATTGACGCGTGCGATTGTCAATGAGGCACTTTTCTGCCCATAACCCCCCTATAGTCCAAAATTGTGTTTCGTGCACGCTTCTAAGTGATGCTTCTGGGCTGTGTTAGTAAAGGCAGTGCGTTCTATGGTTAGGTGTAGTCTTGTTACTCAGGGCGTGTTTCCTGTAGCAGCTACAACTGTTTCTGCTGCCGCTACAGGGGAGTGTAGCCACCGCCACGACAATCAACAAAAATGCCTATCGAACAAGCCCTTGGCTACTGCCTTCTTGTAACACAAATCTTCAGCCTGTTCGCTGGGTCGTATTTGACTTATAAGTCATGATTTAACAGTCAACGTACAGTATTTTTCTCTCACACCAAACCACCAACAGTACTTTCAGCCATGGCTTATAAACCAAACAAGTCCAAACAAACATGATGCTTATAAATTGAGACCTTACAAAGGCATCGGCGCTGGACCACGAAAGAAACATTTGGGAAAAGCCTGTTCGCTTGAACTTATTAACCGGCTTATCAGCTAGAATCTATAGTATTTTTCTCTCACAATAAAATAGCTCCAGCTGACTTATCAGTCGGCTTTAATATAATATGAGCCGAACAGGCCTGGTTGTTGCATCTACCCCACCCAATAAGAAAAGGGGAGCGGTTATGCAAACTGCAAATGCCCGAGTACCTGAGAAGGAAACGCACCCACGTTTCCACTACCAGGCCTCGTTTAGATTAGGGTTAGAAATCGGTATTTGACACTGTAGCATTTCGTTTGTATTTGATAATTATTGTCCAATCATGGCCTAACTAGGCCAAAAGATTCGTCTCGTAATTTACAATCAAACTGTGTAATTAGTTATTTTTTTATCTACATTTAATACTCCATGCATATATTCAAAGATTTGATGTGATGGAAAGAGAGTGAAAAAACTTGTAATCTAAATAAGGCCCCAATAACTCCCATCAACTAACGTCTGCTTCGCTTAACTTATAAACCGTATTTTTTTAATAAATAAGTGATATTTTTCTCTAACAACAAATCTAAGTACTTCAAGTCGTGTCTTGTCAGAGGCATTAAAAACCAGCGAGAGCCAGCTCTGCTTCCTTCCGATTCAGCACTCCGAGCCACCTGTCTCCGCATTCTGCTGCTGTGGGGTTTTAGACAAAAATCACTCGTCCCACTTCTCGCGTCCCCCAGGCCACGGTCGCGAGCAAGGCTAGGCTACCAGTAGTCCCACTGTATCGATCCACCGATTCCCCTCCTCTTCCGTTCCTCCACGGATCTGCTCGCTGTGGAAGCGGAGGAGGACGCTGGAGGCGTCTCGGCAGCGCGAGGATTCGCGAGCTGTTGTGGTGGTGGGAAATGAGGATCTGCGAATTGGGAGACGGTGACGGGGGCCTGGTGTTGCAGCAGGAGCAGCAGGAGGGGGGTCAGGAGGCGAGCGGTGGCGGCGAGCTCGTACGGCTTAAGGCGAAGCGCGCGCTCGTCGGCGCCGGCGCGAGGGTGCTGTTCTACCCGACGTTGCTCTACAACGTCTTGCGCAACCGGTTCGAGGCGGACTTCCGGTGGTGGGATCGCGTCGACCAGGTACTGGCCCTTCCTTGCTTTTGTTGTGCGTGGATTCTGTGGTTAGTAGTATTCTGGATGGTATTGTACGTTCTGATTTATTATTGACTTATTCCTGTGGCTGAGATCAGTACTGTTAATGTTGGATTTGTGATGCTCGGATAGTTGGGTGTTTTATCAAGTTTTTTTTCCTCTGAAGTCATGCACTTGCTAGTGGCCATAAATTTGAGTTCTACGCAGGGATTGACTTTGCTTTGTTAACTTCGTTTGTGCTTAAGAGTGACTTTTACTCAGCAGCAGGGAAATATATCGCCCAACAAAGCTCGTTTGTGCTTAAGAGTGACTTCTACTCAGCAGTGAGGAAATATATCATCTCATTGCCCCCTTGTGAGCAGTGATTGTTCTCGTGCTTGCTTTTGTCAGACGTTCCAATTTTAACCCAGTTGTGAGAAGACTGTGGGTACTTGCCGTCAACGCGCATGTTTGTTTCAGCTCGTCCTTTAGTATTTTGTGTATATATCATTTAGCACCGAGGATGAATATTCACAAGCCTAGGGCCCTGGAGCCCTGTCTTCACAGGAGTAGCAAACCTTGAGTCCTTGACTGGTGTTATTAATTGTTTCATTTTTTCTTCAGTCTTCACACGACCTAGTATTCTAAATTTCTAATTATGTATCAGAAGAATGTGCACTCTGAAATGCCTCTGCCTAATCTTTTTTTTCCTGATCTCCATTCAGTTTATTTTGCTTGGCGCTGTTCCTTTTCCAAGTGATGTTCCACAATTGAAGCAGCTTGGAGTTCAAGGGGTTGTAACGTTGAATGAACCTTATGAAACTCTTGTCCCAACATCTTTATATCAGGTAACTCTTCCATCTTATGCTAGTTATGTGACTCCATTTGTGTTTAAAATTTGATAGAGTTGCCATCTTCAGCACTGGCCAAGTCTATCCTTTTGCATGTATGTTAGTTCAGAGTTCAGTGGACTCAATTGAACTGTTGTGCATATGCAATGTGAAAACATGTACAAATAACAACACATGTTTTCTTTTACTAGGCGAATGAGATTGAGCACCTGGTAATTCCAACAAGAGATTACCTCTTTGCACCTTCAGTCGAGGATATTTCTCAAGCCATAGATTTCATCCACTGTATGTTCTTGCCCTTGTTTATTTTTATGTACAAAAAATACACGATAGCAAATTCATACTTTTTTTTTTTCTGAAACATAACCCCAGCTCTGATCAGTTTCTATTATTTTATTTTCCTTGCATCCGTGGTACCTTTTTGTTATGGATTTTTTTGTTCCAAAGAGTAACCGTTGAATCATAGGTAGGAGAGTTGGTGGTGGTTGGCTCAAACTTAGGGAAGCAAAGCAGTAGCAGTTAACTCAGAAAAGGAAAGTGGGTTATTATTTTGATCACTGGTCAACTATTGTTTATGTCGTTAGGTATGTATTGCCAATTAGATTCTGCGGTGGTAGGTATGGTTACAAAGCTGCAGCACTATCTTTTATTGCACAGTGCATCCCCAACCTCTGGACTAAGGTTCTGTTAGATGTCATTGTATATGACATCATGCATGACAATTATGTGAAACTATTGTAGATTTGCTATCGAAAAACATTGAAATGAGCCTAGCCATTACACAATGTCTGTCAGTCATTCAAACAAACAAACTAGAATCATAACCCATCAAAGCATGTCTATAATCTAAATTCTTGATTTGTGTCAAACAGCAATCTATGACAGGGCATGCCCAACCAAATTCATTGGTATTTTTGCCAAAAGGTTATGCATATGTTGTATATACTATGTACATGTATTAAAAAAAATGAAAATGGCACAAAATGATAGGCTATTCAAGCATTCAACCCAAAATCAATTATACAATTAGTGCTATGTGATTTTTTAATCAGTTATACATTGCCAGAAGCTAGGATTTATGCAATCAGCAAATAAAATTTTTTTGTTACTCTTTGAAATTTTGAATACACACTCTCAAATTGGTAGATTCAATATATAGCTGCCTTCTTTTCAGGGAATGCATTACAAGGCGGTACTACGTATGTTCATTGTAAAGCTGGAAGAGGACGAAGCACCACTATTGTATTGTGCTACTTGGTAGGATGAACTACATTTGTATTTGGACTCAGTATGCATGCTCCTGTTTAATTTCCTGACAATCCGTGTGTTGCAGATTAAATACAGGAACATGACCCCTGAAGCAGCTTTGGATCATGTCCGATCCATTAGGCCTAGAGTGCTTTTGGCACCATCGCAGTGGCATGTATGGAGTCTTTTGTGATTGCATTCTAAGTTATTAGTACAATACTACTGGTGTTAAGACACTTTATGACAATTCACACAATTTTGCAGGCTGTTAGCTCATTTGGAACTCTCACCACTGGACAACTTCCGGTACGGAGTACAAACCTGGGCTGTTTCCTAGAAGCCATTGAAGCTCGCCGTACGAACACAGAAAATGATGATTACCACGTGATGGAGTTTGACTGCGATGATAGTGGCTTATTACTTTCTCAAATTATGCCATCTAAGCCAGCCAGCCCCACTGGGTGCACCGATGCAGTCCTCATAACTGAAGCAGATCTTGAGGGCTATGATACTTATATTGGTACTAGGAAAGATGCCGTGTTGGTAGTTGCCACTCGCAAGCCCATCATGAGGAGATTGTCCTGCCTCTTTGGCTCCCTGAAACTTAACAACAGCAATTGTGAACCAGCTTCAAGCCGGTTCACTGAGGTTCGTGCCTGCTAGGTAGTGTCTTTTCTCCAGTTTTCCATGTAGAATCAAGAGTGTATCTCTAGATAGGCAATCATCCAAATAGGATTTGTAGAAGCCTGAGTTTATAGCCATGGCAGTGCCATCGGGAAGAAAGTTGTGTGCATAGCCAGAGGGGTGGTTTAGTTTTTAGAGTGTAGAGCTGTGAACGCGTCAAATATCCTGTTTTTTCTCAAAAGCATGTGATTCATTGCAATTTGCATCATTGTTTACTTGAAATAAAAACAGGTCTTTTCAGCCAACGGGACGGCATCGACCTCAATTTGATTGATTGTTGACAAATTTGTACTACCTGCGACTTAATTCCTTCTGTCTGTACATGAAATTGTCGTGAATTTGCATTCGACTTTGCTGACGTTATTCTCATACTGCTTGACGTGCGTGGTGGTGTACTGTGAATCTGTGATCCTCGTTTCTTTGCTGATTTCTCATTTGTTCACTTTCTGGGGAGATATTCCATGGAATCTCCAAACGACGAAGCGATCATGGGAGCAGAACAAAAACGCGATCTCCAACTGAAACTGTAGTACATGTACTCCAAATGCCCAAGCTAGTGAACTGAGGCCTCGTTCACTTTGCAAAAAAAGTGAACCCGATGAATAGTACCACTTTCGTCTTATTTAACAAATATTGTTTAATTGTGGACCAACTAGGCTCAAAAGATTTATCTCGTGATTTCCAACTAAACTGTGTAATTAGTTATTTTTTTTATCTACATTTAATACTTTATGCAAGCTGCTAAAAATTGATGTAATGGAGAGAGAATGAAAAAACTTGGAATTTGGATGGCGTCTAAACAAGGCGTGAAGATCGATCCCAAACCCTGGTCCGAGGAAACCCCAAACCCTGGTCCGAGGAAACATGTTCCGTACGAATCAAAATTGGACGAGCCAAACAAACCAAGGGCCAAAAGTTCACCCTCTTCCAAAATTCGATCCTCCTCCCTCTCCCCGCCGCCACACGACCGGGGGACACGGCCATGGCGCAACTCGTGTCACGCGCTCCCGTACGCCCACAAATTTAACGCGCTCGTCCCTCCACCTCCCGCTACCAACCAAAACCCTCTCCCAACCGCGGCCTGCTCTCGTTCCGCCGCCACGACCGGGGGCACGGCCATGGCGCGGATCGTGCCACGCGCGCTCCCGCCGCCTCGCGCTGTCCCTCCACCTCCCGCTACCGCCGCCCTTCCCCGGCGCGGCGCTGCTCCGTTCCGCCGCCGCACGGGCACCCCACTGAGCTCTCCTGGCGCGGGCACACGGGCACCCCTGAGCCCTCGATAGCGGCGCCGCCGCCGTTCGCAGGGTTCCTCGCTGGAATCCGCGGGTTCCGCAAGGGACGGCGCGGACAGGCGTCGGCGAAGCGGTCGCAGCCTCAGGACGCACCGCCGCCCCCGCCCCCACCTCCGCCGAAGGAGAGCGAGATCGAGCTCATCGCTCGCATCGGCGTCGAGGAGGACATGCCCGACGACCCAGAAGTGCTGGTACACATCACGCTTTATGGAACTTCTCCTTATTATTCCTGCTGCTTTAGAAGTGTTAATTGGAAATGCCGATGAGAATCCTGCAACTGTTTATATTTGGTGCACCGTTATGGTGCACCATGTTTTGTCCTGATATTGCAGAACAATTTAGAACTGTAAGACTGTTGCCTTTTGTTTTGATCAATGCAGCTGTTCATTTATGTAACTGGCTGATTAGAGACCATGTTTTGCCATTTTGAACTAGTTATGTCTCCATGTACTCAATATGAATGATTGGAGTGGCACATCCTGAGAAGTACCTAAGCACTAAGGACGTACATGTTTCAGGTCTCTCAGCACATGTTTTAGTAGAGATATCTTTCACCGGTAATATGTTGTCTAGGACAATGTAGGTTCTTTCTAAGGAAAAAAAAAGAACTGTATTTGGCTTGTAATAATGGCTCAGATTTGTGTAGTTGATGCATTCTGGTTACTCAAGCTATTTGACCTATTTATGTTTAGTTATTGTGGACTTCCAGTATTATCTGGCTTTTGAGCTGTTTGTTTCCTCATGGTGAATGGTGGTGAATGGCAGTTGATTTTTAGATATGTTTGTATGTTTGTTGCAGTTTTTGTTAAGTTTTAACATGGGTTTCTGCCTTTCTGGTAATGCACATCCCAAAAATATACCTTTACATTAAATGGAAGTACTTTCTTCCCGATGGCACTGCCATAACAGTCTTGGTAGAATTTTCTTTGACCAAGACATGAGTAGCCTGGGAAAATGTAGGTCATACCTAAGTATACCTGTAACTGTGATTCTGGCTTTTGTTTGGGTAGTGGGTAGTTGGGTGCCTATTGGTCACCTAAATTTAGCTATTTATGTGTGTACGTATTGTTTTTGTGTTCTGTTGTGATTTAGCTTTAGTAGCCTACTTCTCTCAGACTGATGAGTTGTTCATATATGTTTGTAAATTTTCTGTCATATGCACGTGCAGAACATTGTAGAAATCCTAAAGTTAAATGTCCCAATGGCAATGAAGATTGCACTTGATGGACTTCTGGATTCCAGCTACAGCACCCGAGATACATCAATAAGTGATGTTGGGAAGTATGATAAGGTTGAGGTTTCTGTATTGCTATGCAATGGTAACTTCATCCAAGATCTTAACAAAGAATGGAGAGGCGAGGACTGCACTACTGATATGCTCTCGATGTCCCAGTACATTCCAGATCTTGATGTTCCCATTGTAAGTAGGAAAACTTTTTTGAATGTTGTTATGCTCTTAGCTTTACCCATGCATCTTATTTTCTTCTCCTTCTCTGAATATCTTTTTAATGCAGCTAATGTTAGGTGATATAGTAATATCTGTTGAGGCAGCTGCAAGGCAAGCTGAGGAGAAAGGTGTTACACTTCTTGATGAAGTGCGGGTTCTAGTGGTATGGTTCTTTTACTTTTCTTCCCTGAATTCCTCACAGTTCCTTTGAAATTGATCATAGTTTGTGTATTCCTTATGGACATCCCAAGCCAAAATAAGTCCATCTAGGCACCTTTTCATTTCACATATCCAGTTTTACCTCTACTTAAATGCACCATAATCAATCTAGTAAGGTATTGCAAGCATACTATCTACCTCAATTTGTGTGCACAATTCCAAACTACATAACTGCACCGACTCTTACAACTACCGCTTCAGATATTATTCTACACATTACTTGTTTACTCTATTAGGTTCGTGGCATATTGCATCTTCTTGGTTTTCATCACGAGTCGAGCAATGAGGCTGCAGCAGAATTGGAGAAGGAGGAGCATCTCATTTTAAAAAGTCTAAGGTGGAAAGGAAAAGGTCTAGCTAAGAGTGCTCTGGATTCAAGCAAGCCTCAAACAGATTCATTGGATGGTATATTCTTAATGAAATTTCTAAGTTAATATGTTATAGAAATGCCCACCACACTCATGATCTAATCGAGCTCTGGGTGTCTAAGAATGTTTACAGGGCAAGTGACAAATGGTCTGAAGGAAGCTGGCAGCCTAAGATTTTACAAACCAAAATTCAAATATATTTTTTGTGATATGGATGGTATATCCTTTGCTCTTTGCCCATCTTTACAGTCTAGATGTGCTGTAGTTTTCACTATTATTGTTTTTTTTCCTTTGAACAAGGCACGCTGCTCAACAGTAAAAGTCAAGTTACAGCAAGGAATGCAGAAGCTCTAAGAGAAGCCAGGTCAAGAGGCGTAAACATAGTTATTGCCACTGGAAAGGTATTATACATTCTTTGCTCTTGTTCAACTAATCTATTCAAAGAGCAGAGGTGCTATATGATTTTTTAATTATTTTAACTGAAACCATTGGATGACCTTGATATAGCCTACTAAGCCTAGTGTATCAAGATGCCAAAAGTGATCATCATAACTCTTGAGGAGCACTGTAGTGGATACTGTAGCCTGCTAAGCCTAGTGTATCAAGAATCATCATAGCGGGCACTCCAGCAGCACTGTAGTGCTACTGTGGCTGAGCCGCCGGAGCCCCCCAACACTGGCTCCTGTCTCTCCTCCCCGTTCCCTGTTCTATTTTGCCGGAGTCGCTACAGTGCCCGCTACACTGTTCTACAGGAATGCCTAGTGCAGCACAGTTGCGCGCAGGTGGAGCCGGATGAAAGGTCCTAATGGCTAGAGGGGGGTGAATAGCCTAATAAAATTTCTACAACAACACTTAACAAAATGATTAGACAATTATGAGGCGAAGCGAGTTTTGCGCTAGCCTACCAAAATGCAAGCCACCTACCACAATTCTAGTTTAGATGAAGTATATCCACACATAGCTATATCACTACACTAAGTTAGTGTGCTCTCAAAAGCTAACTAAAGAGCCACACTAACCAAACTAACAAGCTCTCACAACTAGTTACACTAAAGAGCTTGACAACTAGTTTGCGGTAATGTAATGAGTAGACAAGAAGGTTATACCGCCGTGAAGATGTATGAACCAATCAATCACAAGTGTGGATAACAATGAAGACCAATTACCTCGGAATCAATGATGAACACAATGATTTTTTACCGAGGTTCACTTGCTTGCTGGCAAGCTAGTCCTCGTTGTGGCGATTCACTCACTTGGAGGTTCACGCGCTAATTGGCTTCACACGCCAAACCCTCAATAGGGTGCCACACAACCAACACAAGATGAGGATCACACAAGTCACGAGCAATCCACTAGAGTACCTTTTGGCGCTCCGCCGGGGAAAGGTCAAGAACCCCTCACAATCACCACGATCGGAGCCGGAGACAATCACCACCCTCCGCTCGACGATCCTCGCTGCTCCAAGCCGTCTAGGTGGCGGCAACCACCAAGAGTAACAAGCGAAATTCGCAGCGAAACACGAACATCAAGTGCCTCTAGATGCAAACACTCAAGCAATGCACTTGGATCACTCCCAATCTCACTATGATGATGAATCAATGATGGAGAAGAGTGGGAGGGCTTTGGCTAAGCTCACAAGGTTGCTATGTCAATGTAAATGGCCAAGAGAGTGAGCTTGAGCCGGCCATGGGGCTTAAATAGAAGCCCCCACGAAATAGAGCCGTTGTACTCTTCACTGGGCGCAACGCGGGGTGACCGGACGCTCCGGTCCGATCGACCGGACGCTGGCCCTCAGCGTTCGGTCACGTGATACACGCCACGTGTCCCCGGCTTCAAATACAGTTCGTCAGATTTCAACGGTCGTCTGCTGACCGGACGCGTCAGTTAGAAAGTGACCGGACGCTGGACCTCAGCGTCCGGTCGTTTCCAGTAAGGTTCCAAACGATTTTTTCCCGGCCGGACGCGTCCGGTCATGCTTTGACCGGACATACCAGCGTCCGGTCACATTAAAGTTGTTACCTCAGACGCCCTACGTCCAAGATCGATCAGACGACTTCGCCAGCCGGCCTCGGTCATGAGTCATTCGGTCATGAGACCAAAACGCGCGTCCCTTCGTCACACCATCGACCGGACGCTACCGGTCCAACCGAGACCAGCGTCCAGTCACTTACAGTGACCTCCGTCTTTTCTGTCTAGGGCGCCGGTGGCACCGTCGGACTGGACACTCCGTCGGTGGAGTTTCTTACCCTTGCACCTAAACTTCACCACCCTTGATCAAATGTGCCAACCACCAAGTGTATCACCTTGTGCACATGTGTTAGCATATTTTCACAAACATTTTCAAGGGTGTTAGCACTCCACTAGATCCTAAATGCATATGCAATGAGTTAGAGCATCTAGTGGCACTTTGATAACCGCATTCCGATACGAGTTTCACCCCTCTTAATAGTACGGCTATCAAACCTAAATGTAATCACACTCTCTAAGTGTCTTGATCACCAAAACAAAATAACTCCTACAAATTATACCTTTGCCTTGAGCTTTTTGTTTTTCTCTTTCTTCTTTCCAAGTCGAAGCACTTGATCATCACCATGCCATCATCTTTATCATGCTATGATCTTCATTTGCTTCACCACTTGGAGTGTGCTACCTATCTCATGATCACTTGATAAACTAGGTTAGCACTTAGGGTTTCATCAATTCACCAAAACCAAACTAGAGCTTTCATCGGAGCTGTCCGAAGCGGAACCAAACGAGGCTTAAGTTTGATTAGGCGTGTCACCTTTTTTTTTGAACAGGCAGGAGAGTTGCATATAGAGAGGAAAAATCGGTCCTGTACAAGGGAACCCCCTTACCTACCTAGGAGGTAAGAGGAGATTGCAAAAAAACATCTTAAGAGATAATCACCTAAAACCAAAGGAATGATCTGACCTGGGACCACTCACACTAGGGCATCAGGCATCACCCATGGGCAGAGGCAGCTTGGTTCCTGGGTATTCCGAGGAATACCCAACTTCTTTTTGCAAAAGATCATCTGTGTTTGACCAAAATGATTCTTTAGTTTTTTAGCAGCTCATCAAGCTCTAGATATTCTTTACTAGCCCCGCACTCCTGCATTGGTATGTTGGCCATCCTCTAGAGTATGAGGTAGCCTATGTCAATAGCCTTGTCATAAACTCATAATATGATACTCCAAGCGTGTTTGGAAGCTATCATTCACTTATCCAGCCATTGTGTTGGGCCGAGCATTGGCGGAGGATTTGGTAATCTAAGTTTAGCTGTGTGCCGATGTTTTTTTTGTCTTGCATGGGTGCACCAATATTTTGTGCCAATCCAGATGACCACACTGCCATCAGTCAACAGTCGCAAATTGGTCGTTGGACAAGCTGGAGGCAACATCCAAACCTCAATCTCTCTCCACCTCTCTAGTCTTACAGCCCATCACCTAATTTGTTAAGCTTTTTTTCCTTGAACATAATTTGTATGAAGTTTGAATGGAAATTATTTGCCTTGGTTGTCTTTTTTTTTGTGGAGAATTAGATCTTTTCAGTACCGCTGATGATTATTTTGCTTCCATGCTCATTCTGAAATCAGGCACGTTCTGCTGTAATTGATGCTCTTAGTATGGTGGACTTATCTGGAAGAACTGGCATTGTTTCAGAATCATCGCCTGGTGTATTCCTTCAGGTTGTTATGAAGTACATTTATTGGAAAATGCAGTCATTTTAGTCATTAGTTGTCTTGAGTAATGAAAGTGCTGCACCTCTAAACATCCTGATCATTATCAATACATTCAGTTTACTGAAAACCTTGTATTACTTACAACATGTCCTTATTGGGACCCTAACTACATCTGGGGTGATAAACCCAATAGGACAAATTATCATGTATGTTTTTGTACTTTATGCATTTTCTGTGTACTTGCAGAATTCACCAGAATTGGGAAAAATCTTAGGGGAAAGAAAAGGTTGAGAGACCTTTCTAACTAAAATAGTCATGGTCACCCTCAATCATAGGTGAAGGTTTCTATTGTCTATCTATAATCTATATACTTAAAACTTCCAGTTTGGGACTAATTCATCTACACACCACTCCACACAGTCCACTTGGGTCCCTATTAGCTGGCTGAGATGATACACGGATGGCATTGGACACAGAAAACTTATGTTTGTAATTCCATGGTGCTTAGTGCTTCTACTCTTCATCCAGTGTCCTGCTATATTTGATAGTTGATGTGCCCCCAATTATGTATGTCAATGTAGTTTATTGTTCTATATTTCTATTATTATTTTGAAAAATATTGTTGTATTCTTATCGCATAACATAAATTACGCATCATTGACTTTCCTTGTGATCATTATCCCCACTCTCATCGAGTGCATACTTCCACTTGTAGGGTCTGTTGGTTTATGGTTTGGAAGGGAGACAGCTTTATAAAAGAAATTTGGACCAAGAAGTATGTAGAGAGGTAAGCAACTATTTTTGTTTGAGAAAAAAAATGTGGACATAAGTGGCAGTATAGATAGAAGGGCACTGCTCTGTTCAAAATCTTGTGGCTTTTGAAATGCACTTATTTTCTTTATATTTAGTTGTGGTCTTGTGTATATCTTCTTTGGATCCATATCAACAGTCATACTATAGTTAGTAAATATGTCTGCACATAAATAGATTGCATTCATGCATGACAGCAACCATAATTGATGGTACATAATTTTCATGTTTTTTCTTGCACACTGGTATAATGTCTTATATGCTACCCCCTCTGTTCCATTTTTTTCTCGAACATGTAGGAGAGCTGCGTATCATTATTAAGAAGAAAAGGGGAAGAGCCCTTACAACACACTCCACTCACACCAAGAACTAAAAATAATATGCGCCTTTTCTAGAACAAAACACGACCTCGACCCAAAAAAAAACTAGACCAACCTGGGAGGAACTAGGTGGTATTTTGTTAAGAAAATAGGCACCCAAATTCACCTCGATGTGGACTTGAACCTGAGTGGTCTGGGTATACATCCACACCCTTGGCCAACTGAGCTTCTTCTCTGTTCCAAATTATCGTTCATTTGGTTTTGTTCTAAGTCAAACTTCTTTAACTTTGACCAAGTTTATAAAAAAATGCACCAACATCTGCAATGTCAAATTTGTTTCATTGAATTCGACGTGAAATATATTTCAAAAGTCCATTTATTTGAACTTGAAGATGTTAATACATTTTTCTGAATCTAAAACTTGGTCAGAGTTAGAGAGTTTTGACTTAGGACAAGGCCAAGCTCCAAAGCAGACTCTTATGTCTGAGATAATACCTGAATGCTCAAGAGAAAGAACTTGCAGAATTTTTATCCGAATAAACTAATCTTACTCTTCATTATCTGTAGGCTACGCTGCTTGCTTGGTGCTCCTGTATCTATCTAGAAACTTGTGTTACTCCTTACTGATTAGTGGCATATTAGCACAGTTTTCTTTAGTGTGTTAGGCAACATATAACTATTCTTCTACGAATATGATATCATTTGCATTCATGCAGGCACTCTTATATTCTTTGGAGAACAAGATACCATTAGTAGCATTTAGTCAGGATCATCGTTATTCTATGTTTGACCACCCTTTGGTCAATTCTCTCCATTACATATACCATGAACCAAAGGTATGATGTGGGTTGGCAGTTTGTTCTTAATCACTCTTTGGGTATCGTATTCCTGTCCATTCTGAATGTAGTTTGAATTTCTTTTGCAGGCTAAAATAGTGCCGTCTATTGATGAGCTTTTAGAAACAGCTGAGATACAGGTAAGTATGTTTATTATTTAAGTATCAATTGAACTTTCTGAATAGTTTATTCAGCAAATGCACGAATAATTTTAGTGTTCCTTCCCTTGAAAACTATATTAGCATCAGAGCATTTGTCTGTAGGTATTTTGTTACTTGAAAATCCATGCTCAAGTAGCAAGTTTCTAAGGTTATTTATTTAGTTGATATAAACATAAACAAGGTTTGTTACAGATGCATGGAGGAAGTTTAGGGTTACCTTCACAACAAAGACCAATTTCTGTTATAAAAAATGTCGATTTTGATTGAATTTTCCATTTTGTATACAAGATAGGTACCATTTTATGGAACATCATTGGATCAATTGCACTTTCTTATGTTATTTGTGATGCTAAGACAAGTTGCAGCTTAACATTCCCATATTTTTCATATTCAGAAAGTATTGTTCCTTGAAACTCCTGAGGGAATTTCGTCTGCATTGAGACCGTACTGGGCAAAGGCGATAGAGGGAAGGGCCCATGTTGTTCAGGCACAACCTGATATGCTTGAACTTGTACCACCTGCAACTTCGAAAGGCAATGGTGTGAAGATTCTGTTGAATCACCTTTCCATTAGTCCGGATGAGGTACAACCAACCTAGTCCCCAGCTAATATATTTGCATTGCACCAATCAAAACTTGCTAGCCTTAGCTGTGGTAGAACGTTGAAGTAGCTGCAGAAAAATTCAGTAAAAATAAGATACCAAAACATTGTTCCAGACCAACGAGATCAGTGTTAGCTCTAAACTGCTGTGACAAATGATTGCAGGACAAGAATTATGGTGGTACCTGATTTCTGCAATCCACATTATTTACCTTTTCTTCCAACATTTCTGACCGTGGAGTTTTGCATTGGACTCCTGGTCATTCAAGTGTTTGGTCATGAATCATGATAAATGCTTAGATACCAGTGAAGCAGCTGTGATAATGCTTCTGATGTTAAGAGTGTCATGCTAATTGATCTTGAGGAGTTGTGTGTGTTTGGTTTGAGGAATGGGAAGATAAATGGATCTTTCTAATCTATAGCTCTGAACCTAGTTGTAATGTTTGGTCTGAGGATGCAGTTGGTCCTGGTCCCATCACTAACTCATTTGTCATAAGCACGTGTTACTAAAAAAAGGAATTGTGTTATCCTACCAAAACCACAGCATGGATTCATGATGGATCGAAATATTTTGAGCTTAGGGTGAGGTACTTACTCAAACGGAACACAATACTAATCACTGCAGTTGTTCTCAAGACCATTTCTTTTGGTACTTATCGCTGTGTATAGTTTGTGAAACCTCTTCTGTTTTTATGACTTCAATAGTTTTACAGAACAAAACATCATAATTAAACTAAATCTGGCATGGATAGCAGCCCCTTGAGCAAGCACTAGTACTATTTCAGCCTATTTGACTTGAAAGAAGATCAGCTGCAATGTAATTGCCATTATGTATTAACTAATAAGTTGCAAGGTTCTGAAATTAATTTCTGTCGTGCAAGGTAATGGCAATTGGTGATGGAGAAAATGACATTGAAATGCTGCAACTTGCTTCGTTTGGTGTTGCTCTTGCAAATGGATCTGATAAGACTAAAGCAGTGGCAAATGTAATTGGCGCTACTAATGATGAAGATGGAGTTGCACAGGCTATTTATGAATATGCCTTCTAACAGCAATGAATCATTTTGGATTGGATTAAATCAGCTCTTTTGATTCCCCATTTTCCCCTGGATTCAACACAGAAGTCAAGTGGGTTCCAAATACACCGTTCGAAAAATTACACTGGAGTGCGACCTCACTCTTGTGTTAGAAATTTTGAATTGTTAGCCTGTGAGACATTTTTTTTTTTGTGGGCAGGCACTGAAGTCCAGCTCTACATACTCTTATAATTGGAATATGTAATCGAATTATTTTTCTCAAATTTGTATGTAGGCATTCCTTTTTTTTACCCATTTTGTCTCTCTTCTTTACTCCGATCACAAAATAGCCAAGCTACGATCCTGTGATATGGCAACAGTATCACTGTTGTTTACACGAATCAATGTTTCGTGAACAAGATGATAGGAGATGATACTCTATTGAGAGCAGAGAAGGAAAACCTCTTATCTGGAATATGTAATCGGATTACTTTTCTCAAATTTGTATGTAGCTGTTCCTCTTTTACCGACTCTCTCTTCTTTACTTCGATCACAAAATAGCCAAGCTACCCGGATTCTTGTGATTGCCACAGTATCACTGTTATTCACTGTCTCATGAACAAGACACGAGATACTCTATTGAGAGCAGAGAAGGAAAACCTCTTACATCTGAGACAGGCCAATACGCCTGTCAACAAAATCCCTCTAAAATGAAAGGAAAAAAAAAGAACAGAGGTTGAAACCCTGGATAGAAACAGTCATGTCATAGAGCCTACTGATGGTATCCACTTTTGTTTACAGGGATTGGGGGAGGTCTGTAAGCATGTTTTTGCTGTTGTTCCTGCTAGTGGTGATCTCTCCAGCTCGGCCCAACAGCTGAGTTGGGCCTTGACTTCACGCCCTGGTCGGGGGTGCCTAACCCTTCATGGTTGATGAGCCCCCGTCACACCGCGCTATAAATAGAGGTGAGGGCCACCGGCTCTCTTTCCGAGGTTGACCGAGCTACAGTTCCCACCGATAAAACCCTAACACCGATCTAGAGAGGGTGCGCAGCCAGTGACGGAAAGCACCACCACGTGGTTCGCCACCGCCACTAGACCGCACCTACGACCGCTACATCACCCGACGCCCTCCGACAACATCACCGACGTGATGGACGGCTCCAGCAACTCCACCAAACCCTCCGACAGTTAGAGACCACTACCCCTCTCCCTTCTTCTCCATCTAGATCTCGTAGTTCATGTTCTAGGGTTTGTTCATCATGTTCTAGTCAAGTTGTACCCGCTAGATCTATGTCTAGTTGATCCTACAGTTTCTATCAATGGTATCAGTCGAGCCTAATCTAGGCATAGATCTAGGCTTTGGGGTAGAAAACTGAGTAGCAGCAATTAGAAGGAGGTGAGAGATCCGATTTGGATCTAAGAAGAGGGTTCATCGAACCGTAAACCCAAATCGAGTGAAGAAAATGAGTAAGAAAGGGTCTCGATTTTGAAAAGGAACTCAAACCCTAACCCTAACCCGCATAGACAACTCGGGGAAGAAGAACAGTAGCCAAACCCTAACCCTAACTCGACCTAACCCTAACTCTAACCCAAAATCGGATAAGATCCGAGAAGAATAGAAGAAGATCCAAGCAGAGAAAAGAAGGGGAAAGGGGAAGGGCTTCGGAGGCGGCTTACCTTGCCGCCCTCCACTCACCGGAGAACTCAGGGAAGTGTCTCCGTGCCGGTAAAAAACCGTCGTGCTAGGGCGCCGCCGCTAGGCTGCTCAACGGCGGCGTGCGCGCCAGCGAGGGGGTCAACGACAACTAAACCATCCCTCCGCCGCGGGCCAGCTCTGGGTGCCACCGTTGCACTCTGCCGCTCGGCTGCACTAAGAGAGAAAGGGAGGGAGAAGAGAGTGTGCTAGGGTTCGGGGGAGCCGGCGCCGCCGCGGTTTTGTTCATCCGAGAACGTCGGACAGCCGTCGATCTCAGATGAACGGCGCAGAGACGTCGGGCTGAGTTTTGGCCTAGGTGGGTGCGTGCGGTAGGCCCCTTTCCCGGCCGAGGCCTAGGTTGTGGCCTAGGAGGGAGTTGCGGGCGCGCGCGCAAGGCAGGCTGGGCTGTTTTGCTGCTTGGGTCGAGTAAACAGTGATGCTTTGAGCCCTTTTTCATTTTCTAAATTCCAGTGAATTTATTCTTTTCCTGGTATTTGATTAATGGCTCAAATAAAATTAGTAAAGAGAATTTTCCTGTGGGTAAAATTCACCAATTAAGCATGAGTTTTCTGCTGCAATGATCAGTTTATCCTCTGATTAATTTTTGAAACCAACGGGAAAATTTTAATTGGAGTAGTAGTCATATTTGCTTAAGTTAAATTATCGTATTGTTATTTTTTGACCAACGTTAATGATAACAATATTATAATGTTTATTCATAGGTTTTCCATGCATTAATTCTATTTCTGTTTAACGGTGATGTAGAATTAGTGTATAAGAATGTTGTATGTTTTAATTTTGACCAACGTTAAATTAAAGCATGCAAGTATGATGCCATATTTTCTCACTATCTCTGATGGTGTTTTTTAGGACTCAATCCTATGACATTTATCTCGTATATTCCGCCTCTTGAAGGGGGCAACTACAGAGTATGGCGAGAGAAGTATGAGCTAGCACTTGCGCTGTCTGAAAATGATCTAGCGCTTACCTCCCCGTGTCCGACTGAGCCAGTGGACCCGGTGAGGGAAGATAATGAGACTGATGCTGATTTCACTGCTCGGCAGCGAGATCATGCAGAAGTGTGGATGAAGTATGATCTCGAACGCAAGAAATGAGATATTTCAAACCACAAGTGCTTGATTATGGCTAAGTCCACAATTTCAGATGCAATAAGAGAGTCTATCCTAGATTGTGATACCGCCATAGAGTATCTTAAGAAGGTGTAGAGTTAGTTCACTGGCTCTTCAAAGGCTTATGCAAGCACCTTGATAAAGAAATTATTCAATGAGATATACTCTTGTGGAGGTATAAGAGGATGCATATTGAAGATGAGTGTCGGGGACCACATACTAGGGTACCCGAAGAAGAGGAGCTAATAACCATCAACGTTGATACATCCGAACAAGACAAGAGCGCAACTACACCTCTTGCACGACGTCCGAGGATTAACTTCGTATCGTCCGACCCCCGGGGGTTGGCTCCGCCTTGTCTGACCCCTGAGGGTTGGCTCCGCCTCGCCCGATCCCTGAGGGTGGCTCCGCCTCGCCCGACGTCTGAGGGCCGGTTCTGCCTCGTCCGAGGTCTGAGGACCAGTTCCACCTCGTCTGAGGTATGAGGGCTGGTTCTGCCTCGCCCGATGTCTGAGGGCTGGCTCCGCCTCGCCCGACGTCTGAGGGTTAACTCCGCCTCGCCCGACGTCTGAGGGCCGGCTCCACCTCGCCCGACGTCTGAGGGCCGGTTTCGCCTCGCCCATCGTATGAGGGCTGGCTCTACCTTGCTCGATGCCTGAGGGCCGGTTCCGCCTCGCCCGACGTCGGAGGGTTGGCTCTGCCTTGCCCGAGGTCTGAGGGCTGACTCATCTACGCACTACTCCTTCATAACTACGCACGTAGATAAAGGTGGGGTACTCAAGTCAACCACGATACCAAGGACCATGCCCTACACGCCTATAGGAAAGTACCGTCAGGATATGACAAGACGAGCGCTTTAAGCCCTTCCAGGCATGTTAGAATCTGAATAGTGTTGTAGCCGTCGACATTTGTCTTACAGTGTTGTGGGCGCCGCCATTTGCTCTCGGGCGTGGATCCTGACGGAAGCATATGACAACCACTATGGCCCAGGAGGAAACTCGCTTCACCTACAGTAACGGACGTACAGTCACTGTACCGTCTACTCCCTGTAGGGCCGCGGATCAGCACCCGGGTCCGCTGCGCCGCCCGCCGAGGCAGGATGGGACGTGACAACTTGCTGACAATGCTAGGATGTGGCATCATCAGCGGACAGACGCCCAGCGTGGCCCTATCAGGATCAGCGGACATGCACCCAGCATGGAGCTATCCCTGGCACCGTCTGCCGTGTCAGGGGTACTCGCTCAGAGGAAAAGGAAGACCCAGCATCTTTGAAGGATCTCCTTAGCCTCTGGTTTTTCTTCTTTCTCCCATCTGTAATCCCTGCTTCCCCTTGGTCTATAAAAGGAAAGGCAGGGCACCCCACTAAGGGGATGAATTCAAGACATCACACATCACATCACACATAGCAGAGCAGCAACCAAGCGCTCTGCATCCATTCAACCTTTCCATCAAAGACTTGGGTCCCGTACCTCTCTCGTTAGTTTGTACCCCCTATACGAACTTTTCAGTGCAAATAACACGAGCGGCAACCACGAACTAGACATAGGGACATTCTGCCCGAACCAGTATAAACCTTGTATCTTTTCAGCACACCATCCAGGTCAGACACGCAATAATACAAATTTACTCGTTGATGTTTACTCGAAACACCGACAGTTGGTGTGCCAGATAGGGGACTTTGCGGGTTCTGACATTAACATTAGGCCACGGATGCCTAGCTATGGAATCAGCTGGGTCCTGGGCGCACACGTGCGCTTCGGGGACCTAGACTTCATCATCACAGCAGAGAGAGAGAGAGCTGGTGCGAGCGCCCGTCGTCGTTCAACCCTTCCACTCCACCAGCCTCGACGCGATCACCGAGATGCTCGAGGTGCTACGATTGCATGCGCCGGAGACCCACGCTCCGGCAATGCTCCCGTTCAATCTCTGCAACGCCGTAGAGACCATTGGCCACCTTGTGGCACAGCGCATGATCCAGTGCCCCGCGAACAACGAGTTCGTGGGGGTGATCGAACACATCAAAGAATCTTTCCATGACCTCATCACAGAGGAGCCGAGGTCGCCCTCTGGCTCTGACTCCAGCAAGGGGAGCCATCACCCCTCTCGTGAATGCTTCATGATGGGTACCCCCGAGGGACACGTCGAAAGTGTCCCCGAGGAGGAGGCTACCCCGGCGAACAACCTCGGCGATGAGGCCGAGGGGAG